GGTCCCTGTTGCGTCATCGCCCCCTTCGAGTGACGCAACTCCTTCCCCAGAACCCCACCCTCCCGGCTCTTAAAGGACCCCGTCCCCAAATATTGTTATCGCGATGGCAACGCCGGCCGGCCCCTCCCGCGCGAGGTCACCGCGGCCCCGGACGCCTGGGCTCTCTCCAGCCCTGGAGCGGGGGGCGGGGAGCCCGGGCGGCTGGGCTGCTGGGCCGGGAGCGCGGCTCGCACGCCCGCGTTGGCTCCAGGTGCCCCCAGGTGCTGGAGCCGGCGCAGGAATGTGCCTGAGACGCGCCAGGAATTCCCGGGGGATTAGGGGCAGGAAACCCGGGGTCACCCAGGGGCCGCCCCCCCCCCACTCCCGACCCGCAGCCCCTTGAACGAAGGAGACGTGGGGCAGAGGAATGAAGGCAGGGAAGGAGGGATGGAGACAGAGGGAAAGGGAGAGATAGAGACGGAGGGCGGAGATGGAGAAGTGGAGAAGCGAGGGAGGGGAAGGGAAGAAAGAATGGATGGAAGAAATGAAGGGAGGAAAGGAAGAGGAGACCGCAAGGAAAGAGGAGAGGGGAAGAGATAAAGGAGAGAAGGAAGGAAAAAAGAGCAGAAGAAAGAGAGAGGGAGAGAGAGTAATGAGGAAAGGAAGGGAAAGAACAACGTGCTGAATAAGAGGAAGGAAAGGAGAGGAGAGCCTGACAGAAAGCAAGGAAGACGGGAATGAGAGAATGAAGGAGTGGGAGAAGGAAGAAGAAAAGAAGGAGGGAAGGGGAAAGGAAGGAGGAGAGGAAGAGAAGAAAAGAGATGGGAGGGAAGCAGGGAACGAGTGAATGGGAGGAAGGAAGGAAAAAGAGGAGAGAAATCCAGAAAGGAAGGAAAGAACAAAGGAGCGAATGAATGAGGGAGGGCAAGGAGGAGAGGAAGGCGGGCAGGGGGTAGGCAAGAAGGGGCAGAATGGATGAAGGGATGGAAAGAAGAGATGAAGGGGAGAATAAGTGACTGATGGGACGAAGGGGTGAGCAAGTGACTGACTGACTGACTGAAGGGAAGAAGGGGTAGAACGAAGGGATGAATGACGGGATGGAAGGATAAGATAAATGGACGAATGAATGAATGAAAGGATGAGGGGATAGATTGACTGAATGAAGGGATAAAGGGATAGGATGAAAGAACGAACGAGGGATGCAGGGACTGAATGACTGAATGGACGGATGGACAGAATGAAGGGATGAATGAGCAAATCAAGGGTAGAAGGGATGAGTGAAGGAAGGAAGGGGTAAAATAAAGGGATGAATGAATGAACAGGATGAAGGGATGACTGAGTGAATGAAAGAAGGGGTGAGGGGATTGAATGACCAAATGAAGGAAGGGAATGAAGGGATGAGTGAACGAATGAGGGGATGAATGAAAGGATGCGATAGACTGACTGACTGACTGACTGAATGAATGAATGAATGAAGGGATAGGACGAAACAACGAATGAAGGGATGAATGAAAGGATCAGTGAATGAATGAAGGGAGGAAGGGGCAGACTGAATGAACAAGTGAAGGGATGAAGGGAAAGAAAGGGATGGAAAGAACAAATGAAGGTATGAAGCGAGTGAATGAAGGGACGAGTACAGGAATGGGCGGAAGAAGGGATGGAGGGAACGAATGAAAGGGGCAGATGGACAAAAGGAAGGAAGGACGAAAGGAAAGAAAAACCTGAGGCAGAGAAAGGAGGGAAGGGAGAAAGGGAGAGGGAGAAACCAGGGGGAGGGGTGGGAACTAGAGAAGGAGAAAAAGAAGAAAGAGGAGAGAAACTAGGCCGGGAAGGAGGGATGAAGGGGGTTGAAGACAGGCCGGGAGGGAAGAAGGAGCCGGCAGATGAGTGCAAGCCGCCCCCGGGGGGGGGTGGGGGGTGAGTGGATGAGTGTAGGGGGG